GTCACTGCATCTTAAAGGCAGGACTGGAAGTTGGCACGATAAATCCCCCAAGACGACTAGGATCAATACTCCTGGCAGGATAGAATTCCGCGACCCTGGGCAGGCGCTGCATAGCGGTTTCCCCGAGGAAGGTGCCCTTATAAGGGCCCTATCAAGCCACAACTTTACGTCCCAAACGCCCGCCACGCCCGCCCGCCCACAAATGGACGACCGTTCCTGACGCTCGTATTCATTCATTTGCTAAGCAAATTATGAAGCGAAGGGATTGGTATGAAGCGGCCGTGATGCTGCATGCATACATGGGTACACATATGCAGCCGTATCTTCGGTAGCGGTGATTGGTAAGATGCCTACGGGAAACTCGTCCGAAATCGATTTACAAGTCACTGAGAACGGAGGCTTTTTCTTCGCAGGATTTTGACCGTTTCACTCCGTTCTTTCGCCATTTCCCCACTATACAGCGCCCTACTAGCATTTTAGGCTAAGTAGGAAACCATCGTGCCAACTGCCTTCAAAGGTAAACCCATAAAAGGGCGTTTCATGGCCGGCGATTCGGAGTGGAAGAGCTATGGTCATGCGCGAAAATCTGGAATGTGTGAGTCGCACTGTCGTGTCGCGCTATCAAGACAAGGAGGAGAAGGCGAGGGTGGGAAATTGCACTGCCTGAAGAGGCGTGGTAGACTATCCCTTGAAGGCAGTTGGGTTTCGGTGTTTGGCCTTAAATGCTAGTAGGGCCCCATATAGTGGGGAAATGGCGAAAGAACGGAGTGAATCCTGCGAAGAAAGAGCCTCCGTTCTCAATGTGTTAGAAATCAATTTTGGACGAGTTTCCTGTAGGAAGAAATGTGTGGGGGAAGACCCACTTCACGCAGAAGAAGGGTCGGCTGGCGAAGCAGGCCGTTCCGGCTAATGTTCTATATTGGAGGGTGGTGGTGGTCGGCGAGAGTGGTGTGAGGGCGAATGGAGCCCCCTGATGGAGCCCCCAGACATGGTCTAAAGGTCGAATCTGCCTGATGCCTGACCGTAATGCTAGGATTTTAGAGGAAATTTGAATTCTGGCATATTTCAGAAAAAAAAGAGAATTCGGTCAACGGTTTAGGAAGCGATCGAGTTGAGATTTTACTGACAGCGCGTCTCAGGATACTTGTCAACTCCAAGGCCTCCCTCCCCTTTCTTTCTTCTTCCTCATTCCTTTTTTTCCTTCCTTCTTTCTCTCTTCCCTCTTCCTTTTTCTCCTCCCTTATAGTGCTGGGCCAACAGGTTCGATGAGGAAATCCCTCTGGATCTGATTGACAGCGTCGTAACCGGCCCTATCTTGTATTGTATGTCACAACGATGTAACCTGTATAAGGATGTATAGTATTCAGTGTGCTTCGTTGGGATGCCCAGCGGGATGGAGGATCGTATTAGTCTTTAAGGAATGTTTTCGTTGTCCTGACTTGAGTTTACTTTGTTTTCCCGTTTCGCTATCCTCGCTCCCACTCGAAGGTAATTTTTTGGGGGAACAAATGGATGAGAAGAAGGAGGGGGGGGGCAGCAAAAGTTTTCATTAACAGCAGAACGTGCCCTTACGAGATTTGATAAGTAGAAGAAGCTATGTCCTCTGACGGTGGGGCACTTCAAACCATGGTCTAGTTCGTTGAATAGAGGCTTTTTTAAGAGAACCAGTGTTTTTTAGCTCACGAGCCTCCCATTGACAAGCTGAAATTATCAATTTCCACCTACTATTCAGCTTTTGAGAAACAGTCCGTTATGAAACAGCAGCCAAAGATAACCGTGAATGAATTCTGCACAGTGAAAAAGCGCTTCGTCCATAAAGAAAAAGAAGGATTAGTTGGAAAACCATCCGTATATGTTGAGGAGCAGCTACTACCTGGGAAGTTAGACTGACCGCATCGTAATCATTCACTCCAGTAACTAAGGAGAGATCATACTTAAGATTAGCTCTATCGCAGATTCGCCTGCTCGTATAGTTTGACTATTCCAACTCTCAAATGTGGAACTTCCATTTATGTAACTCTTTCAAATGTGAAACTTCCATTGATGTAACTATTTCTTCTTAAGGGGTACTAGTCCAATCCACGACTTTTGGATTTCTAGATTAGGGGTGTTGATTTTTCCCACGGCGCGCGACATAACTATCCCTGTATGTAAGCCTATATGAGCTGTATGTCACTCACTCTCATCTAATTATGTTCAGCAATACACTCGTCCAAATATTCCCTTAATTAAGGAGAACTATGGTCTATTGAACGAAACTGACCAGACTGACCAAACTGAAGGAAGCCAGTGATCGGGCCTTTCCGATTCCAGTTGCAGCCGCTTGGTCCATCGCGTGCAGTTCAGGGCTATTTACGGTGCATTTGTCTGTAACGTCAAACCAAGGCGTACTTTGCATCGCCTTTGACCACAGGCTGTTCTGAATGAACAGCTCAGCGGAACATCTCACTAATACAAGAAATATGTGGAAGTAATGGGTCGGACCCATGAGTGATGGCGTTTTTTCTCATTCGAAATATCGCGCTAAGGATCAACAGCTTCGCCATCAAGTTTTATATTGTTTTGCAGAGAATTTCTCCGCTCTATATTTCGTTGACCTGACACTACAGTGCTAAGTGGACTGTAGCCACTTAGCACTGTAGTGTCAGGTCAACGAAATTGAGCATTTTCGACAGCCTCTCTTTTTCGTCTCTAATTGGAAGGCTAAAACCGCACAGGCCCAGTTGCTAAGTATATGGCCAAGAGGCTATGTCTCTCAGAAATGCTTATAAGGGTTGAATTAATTCAAAAATTTCCATTTCGACCTTACAGGCGGCATGCCTCGAAGGTAATGCCCTATTGAGTCCAAGAGCTTACTGAGATAACTTGTTTACGGACATTCATGCCAAATATTGAGAAGTCGTCAGAGGTCATACAGTGCTACCTACAACTATCAAGCATCACCCTCAGCTGATGTTAGACTTTCGAAAATTAGGGGGTACGGCAGGCAGTCGCTTTTCAAGAGGGCCCCATTCATATTCACAGGGTTGGAATTTCCAGCTCGTGATTGAGCAGTCATGAAGAGAACCTTTCCTTGGTCATGTACACCACAGTTTTGAGCTTGTTCTGTAATTTGAGAGCCGAGATAAAATGCAAAAAGTTGTCGAAAGTCTACTTTTGTGTCGACCCGACATTCCATTTCAATGAAATAAAAGCCAACAGAAATCAAGAATCTGTAAGGATTCATACTGTCCTATAGAGCAGAAATAATCTATCAAACAGTTGTAGAACATATTGTAGAACAGTTGTCATTTTCCATATAGAAATGTGTGTCAGAGATGAACGCCACTTATGGTCTAACCCAATATATCGAATTATTTCTATATAATGGAAGGGAGACCGCGACCGAGTCCCTTTTTTTTGATTATCCTTGTCTGCATAGTGAAAGTTACGTGCTATCCCGGCAACTATAGGGTTATGCCAAGTTTCTGCAATCATTTGAGCGATTGTCGGTAGAGTGATCCGAGCAACTCGATACTCCTCGGAATGGTTTGGATCTATGTGGAAATCGACTCCTGTAGAAGAAAAAAAATGACAAATGAAATGATTGAGTTCGCGTTCCAGCAAAACCACTTCAATTCCACTATGTGACATAGAGACTTGGATTGGTTTCACATAGCTTTGATAAGCTCTTCTTTAGAGAATATTGGGCTAAAATGAATGGCATCTCTAGTCCTCACCACTAGGCTCTGAGATTTCTTCTCTGAAATGGCCCAATCCCTCGGTGCTTCTCTTCTGTATGTCTTACACTTTGATCCAGCAGCCATCCGTAGCTGAGCGCATGATATGCAATGTCTTCCCCAGCGGCTAATTTTGGTATTATTTCGTTCTCCAAGATCTCCCTCATGACTGAGTGATTCCGCGACATTTCTTGGATGATCACTGCATCCAGATACTGCAGAGCGGCCTGAATTAGAACAAATTTTTTTTCCTTTCCCTATATGCTCTTTATAGGAACCGTGCTCAGGTCATAGGCCGTGCCAAAAGACTGAATGTTTGTGAGATGAGAACGATATTCTGTAGCAAAAACTCACTGTGCGACATAACCTACTCAATGAAGATATTTCCCTTGCCATTCTTTGCAAATCCAGGCTAATGTTTCGACACAAGATCATCATACTTTGGACGTCCTCGATCGGCAAGCATTGCTATGCTTACGGTTGAAACCGCTTTTTTTGTCGAGAACGCTACTGTAATCGTGTCCTAAAAATCGCTTTCTGCTGTTCATTTCTCAATTTAATGCAAGCCTTCTGTACATTCTTCCAGCTACGAGCCGCTTGCTTGTCGGCGTACCCTCCCCATAGGTCAACATTAAGGCTGCGTTTATACTTTGCGGCAGCGTAGCGTAGCGCTTCCAGCGTACGCCAGCGGCAGTGCCGAAGAGAGGATGCATATCGATCTAGCTTCACCAGCGTCACCAGCGGCACGCTAGCGCACGCTGGCGTAGCGAGGGCACGGGAAGCATAGCTATCGATCTAGCTTCACCAGCGTTTCTCGAGCGTTTCTCCAGCGGCACCAGCGTTTTGCTAGCGCTTGCAGCGGCAGGGAGTAGAGACTATGTGGCCGTGAGAGACGCAGAAGCGATGTGCATTGTAGAGACTATGTGCCCGTCGAAGACGCAGAAGCGATGTGCATTGTAGAGACTATGTGCCCGTCGAAGACGCAGAAGCGATGTGCATTGTAGAGACTATGTGCCCGTCAGACCAGAATCATGTGCTTGAGAAAGGCCGCGAAGAGAAAGATGTGCACTGTATGCAGACTATGTGCCGTCGGAATAGACGCAGCAAAGCGATGGCATGTAGAGACTAAGGGCGAGTGAGAGACGGGCAATCGATGTGTTTTGCCTCCCTCCAGCTCTCCCATAGTCTCTATTCCCCTGCCGCTGCAAACGCTAGCAAAACGCTGGTGAAACGCTGGAGAAACGCTGGCGTACGCTAGCGTGCCGCTAGCGTACGCCAGCGTGCCGCTGGTGACGCTGGTGAAGCTAGATCGATATGCATCCTCTCTTCGGCACTGCCGCTGGCGTACGCTGGAAGCGCTACGCTACGCTGCGCTACGCTACGCTACGCTGCCGCAAAGTATAAACGCAGCCTTATGTCCTTTTACAAGAACACTGCGAATATGACTAGTTCTGGCTCCCAACCATCGAGGAAGTTCTGCCTAAAACATTATTTTGATTGTTTTGAGCTGTTACTATTCGATAACTGCTGTCTAACGCCGCAACGTTCGGCCCCCGGAAGTACGTAAATATTTATCACGAGAATGCTGAGCTGTGGGCAAAGGTCGGACCACGGACGGGATTCGAACCCGGAAAATTGGAAAGTGGGCAAAAGTCGGACCACGGATGGGTTTCGAACCCGGAAAATTGAAAAACATTGAAGTAGTTTAGTAGAGCATGAAACCAACAACTCTTCTAGTTTCTGATGATTTCGAATGGCTACAACACATGACAGCACACTTTCATGGCACCTCCTTACCCTTATGGAATCTGCACTGAGCCGTCACCTAGGAAAACTCTGCCTTTCATATCATTGGAGGAACATGCAAACTGAATGAAAAGGGCAATGCATAACCGCTCACAACGGGTTGTCTACGATTTTCAAGCAGCGTCTCCCTTCAATGATGCCTCTACATCATTTAGGTCATCAAAGGTTTCGTAAAGGATCGTTTCCAATCTCATGTAGTTGCGGCAGGCATGAGATAAGCCAGCTTTCAGTCAATTTGTCACGTAGGCGAAGGTGAGTTTGCTCTCATGGCCGAACATTACTTGCTGGCCTCCATAATCCGGAATGTCCCTTGATGAGACCTTTCTGAAAAACAAGATTTTTCATGAGTTCTTCTACTCGGCGCTGGACTTGCTTTTTACCTCACCTTTTGCCTCACCTGTACGATTTTATGTATTTGTCAGCTAATATTTGCAAATGTGTGAAATGGATGCAATGCACAGCAGGCATGAGAACTCCGTATCGAAATAAACCACTTCCACCTTCTCTGCTCCACTAATTTCGAAACCTTTGTGTAAGTTCGGTGGGGGGAGGGTGGAGTAAAACTGAGCAGTTGTACGTATTGGACTAAACAGATGGTCCTGCGAAGAGACTCCAATACCAGTGTTCTATTGGTCAGAGTGTGGCTTCAGTCTATATAACGTAGTAAACCCCATTCCAATCCCTGACTATCGACTATCCCTCACGGGACTCGCCAGTTTCACTGCTCTGAAGTTCCAGAAGTCAAAATTGAAGATTTCGGCGGCGTATTGAGTTGTCTGGTCGCTTTTTCAATTAATGTCGCTTTTGGGAACCAGATTAAGGGTTAACATTTCAGAATCGAGTTGCTACTCCCTGATAACCTGTGCGACGGCAAGTCACCTTGTGAAAAGTAATTATAATCGTGCTATGTAGGCGGAGAGGGCTAGCTTCCATCTTCTACCAGAGGAAATCAGATGAAGTGCATGTGGAATGCTAAGGGATAGCAGTCGATCCGAAGACTCGACAGCAAATTGGAAGGGAAAGAGTTTGGATATAGCTTAGGAAGGTAGCGATAACGAGAATGTCAATCTTGGTAGACATACGAAAACCGCCAACGCACCTCAGATTTTCCTTGTTGCGGGTAGTGAAGGAACCCGTGCCCTTTGACAGTTTTGCAGTTCAGAACATGATCGATTCCGGTAACTACTGGTTTTTTCCAGGAGGGCAAGTGTTTTTTCACTCACGATGTGTCCATTGACAAGCTGAAAAGCTTTACTCGTGGCTTATTTTAGGTTATAATGGAATGGCCAATAAGAAATAATGGTGGAGAACCTAGCAGCCATGATCGAAGAGCACACCGTCAGCATTATTGCAGCCTGTATAGAAGGAAAAAACCCAGATCCTGTGGAGGTGTGTTTTTTTGAGGTGACGGAAGGTATCTATCAGGTAGCCTATATCGCGTCATTGCGAGAATGCTGAGCTATGAACAAAACACTCATAATTTCAGAAACATGAGTGTTGCGAAGCCACAAATGAATATCATTAAGCTGAGAATTTGGAGTTCGGCTTTGGGGGCTTAGCGCACTAGCTTGGAAAGTGCAGCTGACTCTTACCTGAAGTCGAGACTTTGGTCCTATTCAGCATTCATAGCTTTTAGTAAGTTTCAAGCACCATATCTATTTCCTCAAACTCCCGGAAAGACTAAAGTAACTATGGACTGTAACATTTGCAGAACCTCTTTTTTTTCCTGGATCGGTTTGTTCGAAGTCAGGATTTTCTTTGCTCAACCCCGATATTGCTGAATACTATTGGTCATTTTCAATCAAAAACCTGAAAAAGTCGACCAAGAGGAGAAGTGGCATAGTTGCCCGAAGCGATCCAGACCTGAAAATTTCCCTAGAATTCTTCGATTCTCCAAGTTCTCTCATTGTCCTCAGGTCGTGTTGTTTTCGATTCTCCTGATGAGCGAGTGTCCATCATTTTTTGAGGATTCTCCGGTCCGCTAGATATAAATGTCTGTTAACGGCTACCCATAAACAATGTTTCTTTGGTCCGAATTGACGTTTCTTCACCAACTGATCCTACAAAGAACTTTTCTCTGATCCCGTTTGAAATCCTTCGTCACGTCGCAGCACATGTGCTCACAATGAGATATCGCTACCGCACGTGTAGGGTGTATCTGTGTTGCACACCCCTTGTTTCACAGACGGGCACAAAAATTGATGATTTTCAGGTGTTTTTCACTTGCTGCTTTGGCCTCCGAAACATAATTAAGAAAGATGAAGGTGCATCATATGTGAATGGGACTGTCCAGGCTGAATAAGTAAGCCAGAGCGAGCGTTTCCGATGCCAGTTGCAGCCGCTTGTTCCAGCGCGTGCTGCTCAGGACTATTTATTGTGCAGTTGTCTGAAACCTCTATCCAAGGCATATTTTGCATAGCCTTTCCCTCAGGATGTTCTGAACAAGGCTAATAAAAAAAGAAATAGTGCACGCAATATGGCCTGCATAGACACACAATCTAATATTTGATTTCTCATTAATAAATTAAATAAATTTGTGATAATTCCTATGATAAAGAGGAGGTACTCTTGTGAGCGGAAAACAAATTCGTAGGGCAATTTTGGAGAGTTTTTATCATAAGCGGCTCTTCTCTAATAAGAGCAGCTTTAGCATACCTCGTCCGCGTGGTAAAAAGTGCGCACTATCCGGGCGACTCTCGGGTCATGCCACACTTCTGAGATCATTTCCGAGAATGTCGGTAGCGTGACTCGTGCAACTCGACGCTCTTCTGAGAGGTTCACACCAATGTGATAGTCGACTCCTGGGAAAGAATGACATGAAACAGTCGAATTTCGTTTCCAGCGAAGCAACTTTGGATAAAATGTGAAGGCTCGTGTTGCTCTCTTGGGAAAGCTCGTGCTCAAATGGATATAAATCATCAGAGAGATTTTTAGCTCTGGAGAGCTTTTTTGTGGTTAGAACTAAAATAACAATACAAATGTACGTGTGCCCACGTTTCGGTTTTGCAATTTCGTCTCTGACATACTGCCCAATTCCTCGACGTCCCTCATCTGTGTGTCTTACAATTTGATCTAGAAGCCACCCCAAGGTGTACGCATGATATGTGGTGTCTTGTCCACCGGTCGCTTTGGTGCTTCTCCAACACTTTTCTCATAAGGTTGTGATCCGCTGTCATTTCTTCGGCGATCAGCGAATCCAAGTACGGTAGAGCGGCCTGAAGAGGAGGAAATGTTCTGTGGGAAAGAAGGGAAAGTGGGCAATCCTAGACAAGTACTGATAGTGACATCAACCCGTTTTCAAGGGCAAGGACCTTTGACCAGTTCAGCTTGGAGCGAAAATGCTCTCATTTTCCTAGGCTTTTGGCAATTTCTAGACTCCGTGCTAAAGCGCGACGGTGGCGCATGCTGTGCTCCGTAACCTTGTCAATGCGAAAGAATAATTTTTGAATAACAAATGCACCATCTACTTATAGACAAGGCCAAGGGACATGGATTTCAGTGCTTTTTGAGTTTCAGTGTAATGTCGTGAATTTTAATGCTTCTTTAAATTTGGTTCCGTGTGTTCTCATGCAAAGTCAAAAAGGATTATGCCATAGTTTCTACCAGTTCCACTATGTCAATTTGGATCTCAAATACAAAATTAACCGATGGAGCTCTTGAAAATTATGGTAGACCTCGAGTGCAGTGGATAGTTTCACTTATGTTGATGATTCTTATTTTCTTCCTCGTGCACAATATCTCAAAATTAACACACCATATGCGACAGAAACCATTCAATGGTGATGTTTTCTTTGCCGTTCTTTGCGAATCCAGGCTAATGTTTTGAGGCAGGATCGTCATACTTCAGACGTTCCTCGATCTGCCAGCAGAGCAATACAAACTGCCGAGACCGCTTTGGTGATTGAGAACGTCATCGTTATTGTGTCCTGAAATGAAAATATTCTTTGCTGCTTATCATCTTACTCTTTGGAATAGACGTACTTTCATCCAAGGAGTGATATAAGAGCTTGACGGGAACATTATTGGTGGGTGACAGGGAGTGATATCAGCTGATAAGATCTAATAAGAGGCGTCAGAAGGAGAGGGTTACCGAGTCCATAACTCGGGTCACACATCAGTGGGAGGTTATTCCAAGGTGTGGTATAGGGTATGGGACAGAAACATTATTGGTGAGACAAGAACTACTAGCGGCTGACAAGAGTAGATAAGGGGAGTTAGAATGGGAAGGTAGCCATATTTATACGCGGAGCTCAGCATCAACTAGACGTTGATACCAGCAAGTCATACAGAGTGAGAGGCGGGAACGTTGTATGTGTGTGACAGAAAGTGATAACAACTGGTAGGGATATAAGCAACGTTGCTATAAGCCTTTTCATCACATGCATAATGCGCCTTCAGTGATGTCAAGCGAGGAAGGGGGGAGGGGTATGTACAGGGGGGGCCAAAAAAAAAAGTCATTTTTCCTCCATGACTTTCAAGGCGCTATAAGTTACACTTTATTAAATTTTTATCGGACATTTTTAATACCATATTAAAGAGCGTATTAAATACTATAATGATACTCCGCCACAGCCTTCTGGAGGAGCGCCATCGAGAGATTCGGCCGCGCGAAAGTGAGTGGGTACCGGAGTTGAGCGAGATCGTTGATTTCTCCGCCACTGTAGACCACCCTGTTGAGCTCCGCCCGAACTAGGTAATTGAGTGGGTTCAGGTCAGGGGACATACTTCAATATTACATCTTCATCAGGTACGAAACGCCCTTCCATTCGAAGTAGGCGGGAGTTTTTCCAAAACCCTTCGATTCCATGTGGTGGCACCCAAACCTGTAGCAGCACAAGGTCTCCAAGAAGGTACGGGCGACCACATGTAGGGAGGATATTCTTCTCGAGTTACTTGATGTAACCGCCAGCGCTCACCTTCAGTCGGGGTCTACAAAGAAAATATCGGTCTTCCCCTTTCCAGGTACCCCGCCGGTCCCACCATTCAACTCCCCCTTTGTGAATGGGGATGGAAGATTGATTGTCCTTTGACCGTAGCGACGTTGCCGGAGCTGCCTTCAATGTGTTGAGTCTTTGCAGATTAAGAGTACTGCGTACTCCGCGTAGCTATCCTCAGTGGGTGTTCATTCAAGAAGTTCCGCAGCTGTTTGGAGGCCACGTGAATTCCAAAGGCGTTCTCCACTCAGGCCGCGACTGGAGATGACTTCATATTTTGGTGTACATGAAGGTGAATGGCGGACAGGCTGCTCATGCGTTTTTAAGAGGATGAATCTTTGGGTATCTTCCGCCCTGGTACTCATATCCACTTCCTCTGTCTGGGCTGCGAAAACTTCGCTCATATGTGACTCGGCCGGAATGACTTTTTTTTTTTGGCCCCTGTAGTTGTTTACCTGTAAACAGGAAATTCGAGGATATCAGGAATCCGGAAGACTGTGTAATGTAACACACTTCATACGCGCAATTCTGAGTATTACAAGGCACTCTACGCCTTAATTGGCATTGTTTTACGTTGAACTTTCAATTGCTGATGAGAACGGATGAGAAATAAGGGTGTATGAAAAATGGACAACTAAAATAGCCCAGATGACCTACACTCATTTATATGACTTCAGCGAATGGGCGTGTGATGGAAAAGGTAAGCGCTCAATGGTAGGGCGTTTCAATACAGGTAATGGAGACGGAATTTGTTCATCTACTGAGCGATCCTATTGCGCTGCAGTAGCGGACTCTACTTTCTATCTATAACTGCATATCTATGTGTGGTGGTCGTCATTCGTTCTGCGAACATAAGCGTGGATCAGAAGTACAGAATCCGCTGGATCACTCCACCTATTACGATTTTGTTAACAGCGCAGTAGAAGCAGTGAATGAATAAATCCCGTTCCCATTATGAAATACGCCTGACGAACCCAAACCAGTCCGGCGAGGCCGGGCTACATGGAAGGAGGAGAGCCTGGCCATCCCACTGGTAAAACAATAGTCTGCTTGATGCGCATTGTCACCTGGCTCTTGTAAGCATCACGTCTTATTCAATGTCTTGACGACCGATTTTAGACCTTTTTTATTCCAGTGAACGTGAAAGTTTGAGAGTAGCTGAAGGTCAAAAGTAGAGCTATCTTCAGTAGTATAGGTGAGGGAATGATAGTCCTGCCACAGTTCGTTAGTGATGCTTCCTGTCCAGTTCACGATGCAGTCTGCCATCAGACCTACGCAAATGCTTTTCGAACGATCTCGAATCCCTTCTCCACCTGTCCGTTGTGGAGCGGGAGTTTTGGATAAAGCCTGTTGGTAGTGAATTGGTGGAGAATCGAAAATACCGATGGCTGCGTAGCGTGATAATCCCTTCCTACTTGAAATGAGGAATTTTTGAATCTGAAGATCAATCAAGACTTTTAATTCACATTGCACCTCCAGACGACGAATTTAATAAATTGCAATGGCACTTATTGATTAAGAATATCTTTCTTCGCTTAGCATGATGCCTTTCCACGTATCCCTAGAACGCAGGCGAGAAAAGAATTATCGGAGTGGTACTGTAGAGTAGCACAGAAGTGTTGATGCGATAGCAGTGACAATTTTAGAGGTTTAACAGCAACTACAGCAGATCAGCAGATAAAATTGTTAACTAATTATTTGAGAAGCAAAGGCAGCATTCAAACGGAAAAGGCTCTATACGCTGTTGACCAAATGGTTGGCGCGCAAGTGTTCTCAGTTGGCTTGAAACAAATTACCTCAACCTGTCTCTAATCTATTAATTGAATCGCTTCCATTCTCAATTTGTTTGTCTTGCTAATTGCTGTTTTTTACCACTGTTCGCGTTGTGAATGTTGCCGCTAAAGCACAGTTCAGACCTCGCAACGGCAGCGCTTCAGTCGCGCGCTCGACGCGATCAGTGCAGTTGAATGCATGCTTATCGATCGCTTCGAACGAGCGGCCAAAGCGATAGCCGCGAGGTCTGAACGCTGCCTGAGATGCGTCGTGAGCAGTACACATCATACACACTAGGGAGCCCTTCACGGGAGCAAAGCCCGCTGCTAGCTCGGAGTACAGGGTGAACTGCTTACGACACGGTAATAGGAGCGAAATGGTTTGAGAGTATGGCAAAGTAATGGCTCGATAAGGCGCAACGCGCTTTTAAAACGGTTAAGGCAGTTTCACCCCTTTCAGATAATCGTGACTGGCCCTCCTCACCTGGGAGTAAGTTTTTTAAAATCAACATATAACGATGAGCTCTCGATCATGCGCGTCTCGCCCTGTATCTCGCCTAATTTTTTTCCTCTTTTCCACGCTCATTCTCTCATCGCCGTGTCATATTACTATCAATATTTCATCGGGCGGTGCCGAGGCAGCTGTCCTTCAAAAATGGTATCCTTTTCGCACTTCATTGTTGACTCAAAACCCTGATTCAGAATTGGAGGACCACTTATAGGAACCGCCGCTTTCCAAAGAGCAAGGTAGTGTTGATTTCAAGGAAAAATGGTGCACAAGTTTCGTGTCAGAGGTCTTGAGAAAAGGGCGCAAGGGCGCGAGCCAACTTATCCGCTGCAACAGCTCGACGGTATCCGTCGGCCTGCTCATTTGCATGCTGCTGCCAGTTCTGCTTTGCTTAGTCTCCACGGGATTTCAGATGTACACGAGCATGCATCGTATAGATGGTGACTTTTGAGGTCGAACTGCCTTTTTCTGTTATTGGGCAAAACTAATATAGTATTATTATGTCGAGATACTTATTTACTTATATTACGGATAGCGGATCGGTGGAGGACGAAACTTTTAACGTGTACCATAGAAAATTTGCACGCTTTGCAGATTTGTCCTAAGTGGCATCCGTCGCCACACCTATAAAGTTTAAAAACAATCCTGGTTCACTGAATGTGAGGGCTATGCGACCGAACGACGTTCTGTAAATAGATAAAGATTGGAGGATACGGGGAACCTAATGAAAGCCCTGAATGGGAGCACGAATGTCACGAATATAATGCTAAAGCAGCAGAGACGATTTCTTATCTCCTGACATACAGAAATTGCTCACGTCAGTGTGAGATGACCACCTCACTCTTCCTGACATGACTACTGACTCTTATGCTTGACCGTCGCTTGTCGTTTCCACTACAGATTGCTATCTATGCAGTTGTTCATAGTTTTCCATACATCATTATGTAGCACTCAATGTATGCAGTGATAATTATTTATGAAATTTAAACAAACACGGGTGTTCTATAACTGCGCATGAGATCTTCCTCAAAATTAGTAAGCAGTGTTTTCCTTCGTGGATGTTTCCGAACAGCTGTCCTGCAGGGTCTCGTAGAGTGTGTTTTCCAGTCTCAAGTAGTTGCGGCAGATATGAGCTATGCCTGCTTTCAGTCCGTTTGTCACATAGGCAAAAGCGATTTTGTTCTCCGTGTCAAACATCACCTGTTGGCATCCGTAACCAACGTGACCCATTATGAGACCTTTCTGGAAAGCGGTCTTTATTATGACGTTAATTGCATGTTCTCTCATACACAATGTTCTAGGTATTCAGACACTATAGCATAGGCATTTGCAAGCAGCAAAGCATACGCTGTCAAAATCAAACTTTTCTTTTTGGTTTGCATGGCTATGCTCGAAAAACCGTAATCACTTCAAAAAGTTGGTGGAAGAAGGAAGAGGGTTGGTAGTAGTTGAGACTCAATCAGCACCGCCGCGATCTGCATGGCTATTATTGTTTCACATATCGCAATAATACAATTTTGCATGCAAACTTATATAGCAGGCACTGTGTAAGTGAACTTAAGAGGGAAGGAAAGAGGCAGAAATCATCAGCCAGTAAACTAATGGGACTTGAGAAAATATGGAAGCGCTCATTAGCATGGTGCTCGTTCCGTTAAGCGAGTTTATCACCGCTATCCTGAAAAGAAAAATCAAGGAGTATCCATAAAATGAAGAACGCGAAGTTTAGCATATGTAGTGATGTGGCAATAACCATAAAAGTGCAGCCTAGAATTGCTCAAATAAAAGCGCAGAGCCTTCTACTAGGGAGTATCGATAACACCAATGTCAATCATGTACACATGTTTGTTTTCTGGCACACCTCAGATTTTCCTTGTTGTGGGTAGTAAAGAAATCCATGTCCTTTAACTGTGTTGCAGTTCAGAACTTGGTCGATTCCTTGGATGACTGGCTTCTCTAGGAGCAGCATTGTTTTCTGGCTCACAATACGTCCATTTATAAGCTGAAAAAAACACATAATAGTTTTTCCGTGACGAGGTACCGATTTCTTGGCGGATTATGATTACGAAAGATAGCCTTGCATTTCTGACTGCAGCTAAAAAAATCTTCGTAAAAAAGCAAAAGATGAGGTTGAGTGGAGCGCCATCGGTAGCCAACTGTTTCTTCACTGAACACCAGTCAAGAAATAGCAAATAAGGGCCAGTGTCGCGTCCATTTTTTTGTCGACTTCTCCAATCGATTGCTGTACTACACCACTTCTCATTATCTTTTTTGTGATCACCTCGTAGTTAAAAAGACCCTGCTGAAAAGAAGTTGAACTATGTCAATTTCGCTGAATTTATGTCGGCTACTCATTCCATAAAGCACCTGCAGGTGAGACTCAAC